TTCTGTAACTTTTGTAACTTCTGTAATTTCTAATATTTTCGTAATATAAGTAAATATATAATTATGAGTAATAAAGGGGGTCCGGGGTCTCCCCGGTATAAAAAAGAAAAGATGAGTAATAAAAGGGGGTTTAAGGGGGTCTCCCCTTTATAATAAATTATAAACTCGATAGTTTTTAATATAATAATACTTTTATATATATTTACTTTTATTTTACGATCTATTTAATAAGTTTGATATTTAGCAAAACATAAAGTCCGATATAATATTATCAAATCTAATTTAATAATATACTAATGAGTAATTAGCCCGTTGGTGACACTACAGAGAACTTGGTCCTCTGCCCTGGTACCCCCTCCGGTCTCTGGTGAATATGGGCTCCAGATGTTGAGCTGTCTAACGAGCTGATACGTGAGAGGCTTGATGGAATGCAGGGAGAAACGCAGTGTGATCTTCTCCATCTGTCGATCAGTGGGCTTGGGAACGAGCGAGGGAGAAGGCCATTGATGCTGATGCGTGTCGCCTGCTGGCCGCGGATACGGAAAGAATGGAAGTGATTTTTGGGGGGTAATACAATGGCGATATATAGTGGTCTGGGTACTATACCACGCTGCCTCAGCTGGATGGTAGGACCTCCTTGGCTTGAGACTTAAGACTTAATATATATATATATATATCTATATATATATCTATATCTACGAACATCTCAGCGTAGCTCAAGAGGCCTATATCCATGACTTTTTCTTCTTTCTACCAAAGTCTCTCCACTTGTCCCAAAGTGAGAGTCGACAAAGTAACATTGAAAGAAAGATCGAGGCGTCGAGAAAGGCGAACCAAGAATTTGCCATCCCTCCCAACCTGTCCTTTCCCATCTTCTTACTCCATTCTTTTAAAAAGGCAGCACAAGAGGTAAGTAAGAACGTCGATTGTCAACCTGAGCAGTTCATGCAGTCCGAGCTCCATTTATAGTCAGTCACGTGTACAACTGTCGCTAAAAGTAAACAAACAAGACCCAACCTCGACGAATAGCAAAATCCAAGAAATTTGACACACCGACAGTCCAGATCTCGAAAAGGGTATGCGCCCTCTATAGATTTCGATTCTCTGCATTTGTAAGCCTACGGTATGCTGCTGACCTCCTCGAGCATTTCAGGACCCATCCCAGCTCGGAGTCCGATACAAGGAAGGAGATAGCTAGGTCTCGACTGGTTGGCTTTTGGATTGGATCTGATCGATAGCTGTATCAAGCTGAATCGCATATAACACATATTGAAATAGGCCAAGGCAATACAAACGCCTAGGTCTCAAGTCTCCGACGCTTCTTTCTTTACGGCTGGCTTCAGTTAGAATACACCGAGACGACGAAACGAAAAACGAAATCATCCCCCTTCTCCCCCTTCAGACGCGCGGATGTCGTATGAATTTTTTTTTAAACCCCTTTCCCCCCCCCAAAAAAACACATATTGCGCAAAAGTAACCTCCACTCAACATCCCAGCTGCAGCAGCTCATCGGACCCTACGACAACTTTTTTCGAGCAAGTGAAGCCAACAAGCACGGGAAATTAGAAAAGCAACCGAGACGCATCGCTGAAGGCCGAAGCAAGAGAATCTATCAAGTAGGGAGGGATTTTCCTCGCGGACATGATCAGCACCTTCCACCGTCGTCGTTAGCCCTATCCCATCCTAGCCTGGACTGGACTGAAGAAGGGGAATCCACGCTTCGTATCTATGCCCGTCCTACTGCTGCTGCTGCCGCTGCTGCTGCTGTCCGAAACCCAGCAGCAGAATGTGAACCTCGTTGCTTATCTAGAAAATATTCTGTCAGATTCCATGTCTCTGCTCTATCCCCACGTCTCCACATCTCCTTCCCGTGGATCCTCTCATCATGCAGAAAACAAAGCTAATCAATCCTCTCGTTGTCGTTCTCCTTGTCGTCATCAGCCGAGCGCCTTCCTTCGTCTTCCTTCGCTTTCGCAGCCACTCTCTCGGCCTTCAGATCAGATAGGCCATCGAGTTTCGGTTTCTTCTGGTATATATCCCCGGTTATCATTCGTCATCTTCATGCGCTAAGCGCCCTGTTTGTTTTGAGTGAGGAGGCATTTCGATGCCAGCTTGGCGGGGGCCATGACTTTCAGCGTCAGGAATTTGAATGGGCTGCATCGCTTCTCTATTGGGTTTAAGCAGCGGGGGCTTAGTTCAATAATCAGAAACTGGATCGGAAGAGCGGATTGGGGGGGTTCAATTTTCCGAGACTAAGGATAGAAGATTGATTACTTGCTTCACTCATGATGTGGCTTTGGAGAAAGATAGATCGTGGAGGGTTTCGCTCCGCGTTATATAGGTTCCTATACGAAGTATGATCAATCTATTGCTTCGTGACTGGCTGGGTGGCACGGTACGCAACCCAGACTGGCAGATTACATAGCGACCTTGAGATGGCATGAGACTGACTGTGAGGAGACACCGAAGGGATTGGCCTACAAATATCGTGGCTCGAAGTCCTGATTTTTTTGGGTAGATGATGCGAAGTTTCTTCGAAGATACCCGGCATTGAGCGGTTTTGCTCGTTGTACGCCACCAACACACACTCGAGCGCGAGACATGTCTAACTGGTTGCAACGACTGGCAATGGATGACTATTCGCATGCCATGTCAGAGCGAAGCCCAGCCAAGAAAGTCCCTCTCACTTATGGTCAATATCATTTAAACCTGGGAGGGCCCTGCTCATCGACCACGTTTCCCCCTACCCCTCCCGCCTCCTCGCCCACCGCCTCTCCCGCCTTTCACACCAGGCGTGCGTTTCGGCCCCTCAATCTCGTAGATATCCTTCTTACTTAGTGTCAAAGTACCTCCGGAGAACCTTCCCACGCCAGGCGCACCAACGCCCCTATCTCTTTTCCCAGCACTAGTCTTCTTGGTGCCCGTCTTTGCTTTCTCCAAGATGATGCCGTTCTCTTTGGCTTCTTGTCTGCGCTTGGCTTCCTTCTCAGCCGCCTTGGAGGCAATTCCCTTGCGATGCGACATGGGCATCTTCTCCTGCTTGAATATAGAGGTCCTGGACCCCAGCGCCTGCAGTCGCAGATCGGTAGCTTTGTGCCGGTTGGTGCCACTGAGGGTGGGATTGGAGGAGGAGTCTAGGAGGTGGGACTCGGTCAGAAGTCGCTGGAGGGCAAGGTCTTTCTTGAGATTGGCAGCTTCGGAGGCATCGTCGTCGTCTATCTTGCTACCGGCCTGGTCGCGGATGATGGATACGGCGGGTGTGATCTTCGGAACTTTCGAACTCTGCCCGCGTTAGATAGGGCCCGCAGAGAATTCTCAAGGTAAAATACCATGAATGATTTGAGCTCCTCCTTGGACATTGCTGCCATCCGTGTCTGCGCATCCTCGTGCTCCACTACCAGGACTCCATTCTCCTCCCCATCTGATATTCCACTCCAGTCCGAGTCTTCCACTGATTCTTCGTCCGAGCTCTCTTCCACAACTACAGCTTTCTGCACCACGGGAAGGGGTTTGAATTGCGCCTCAAAGTGCCGCCTAAATATTTCCTGCGCATCCAGCTCTTCCGTTCCTGACTCCTCGCTCTGATATCTTGGAGTTGCATCTTCTTCCGGAGCTCGCCGCTTGCGTTTTCCAAGTGTTGTAGACATTTTGAGTTGAGTTATAATTTTCTTGATGGCAAAATCCAAGAATTACACTCTGCATGTCGTGAGCCTTGCCGCCAATGCTTTACGGGCCGACATTCAGCCGATAATCCCAACCTCACACTGCCCAACTCAAAAAATCGTGGATTCAGACTTATATCTAGACCATCCTAATATGACTAGATTTAGACCCTGCATAGATCTGCACTCGGGGCAGGTCAAGCAAATCGTCGGAGGAACCTTGACAACAACGTCAGAAGATCTGAAGACCAATTATGTCTCCAAGCTACCAGCAGGGCACTATGCACAGCTGTACAAGGACCATGATCTGGAGGGAGCGCATGTTATAATGCTGGGTCCAGGCAACGAAGAGGCTGCTAAGGAGGCACTTGCAGTTTGGAAGGGCGGCTTGCAGGTTGGAGGAGGCATCAACGACAAGAATGCCGCTCAATGGATCGAATGGGGTGCAGACAAGGTTTGTTGACAGCTCATAGCCGGGCAGCACTGCACATCCCTCGCTCACGTCGGTAGGTCATCATCACCTCCTTCCTCTTCCCCGGGGGAAAGTTTTCTCAGCAACACCTCGACTCTGTTCTTACAGCTCTTGGGGGTGACAAGGAAAAACTGGTTATTGACTTGAGCTGTCGGAAGAAGGGCGACACGTGGTTCGTTGCTATGAACAAGTGGCAGACCATTACTGATATGGAAGTCAATGAAGGTGAGCGATCTGTGACTAGCTCTAAATAGAAAGCTACTGACTATAGATTAGCATCTATTCAGTCACTTGAAGGTTATTGCTCAGAATTCCTCATCCACGCTGCCGACAACGAAGGTCTCCAGAAGGGAGTCGATGAAGAGCTTGTCAGAAAGTTGGCCCAGTGGTGCAGTATACCTGTCACGTATGCTGGTGGCGGGAGACACCTCCAAGATTTAGACCACGTCAAGAGTCTGAGTGGCACTAGGGTTGATCTCACGATTGGAAGTGCGCTAGACATCTTCGGTGGATCTGGAGTGACATTCGAGGAATGTGTCGAATGGAACCGACAGCAGCCAAGACGTTGAGGTTTATTAGAAAGTATATGCTCAAACTACTTGTGAATATCCCGCCCAGTCAGTCATGTTTCGAGGAAGTATCATTTTGTGACTCGACGGAGGCAAGGCTTCCCATAAACGGATCTTCTTACTTCAATCCGCATTCGTTGTTTTCTATCGCAAAATCTCAAAGTTTTCCGAGGATGTAGGCCAGCGTGTCCATCATAAGGCCGGCTGTCGGCCACCACGTTGCTCGGGAACTGTCTATTTCTTACCCAATGTACAAGATCATTTCATTAACAATCTTCCGGTCCTTCGTTCTAGATCAGAGTCCACACGCTCGCAACGAGGAGGAGCTCAGTATCTCAGCTCTCATCTTTGATAAGCCTCTCGGACCTGGGCCGGTCACGAATACAATTAGAGACATGCACCTATCTGACTTACTTCTCACCAGCTCACGGCTTACTCAAACGGGGAACCTAACAATAAAATCACGTCCGGGAATCCGTCAGCAGCCCGCCATAACTCACTCATGGCTCACTCATGGGGTCTTCCCACGATAGAATGAATCGCAGGTTGCACAAACACTACCTGACGCCCAATTGCTTCAAGTTGCTATCAACGAGCAAGTTCGTGATATCTCGCACTTGACCACTGTCACGAGAACCCACCCGAGATCAAGGGCCTCCTTCGGCTTGCAACATGATAGACAACACTCGTGACTCTCTCGTTAGCATTGCTGATGTCTGAGCAATTAATGTTCGAGGTCCTGATTCTAAGAAGTTATTCATGATGTGAGGACAGATGACAAGAATGTTTTCAGCAGCGTGTGAAGACGTACAAGGCTTGCGTAGCTGATCTTGGTCATCCTCACCCTCATAAGTTTCAAAGTCAGCCCCAGTGTCCAAAGCCTAGGTAGCCTGAGAGGGGAATTTGCTAATTGTAAAAATGACTTTACCTGCTTTTTTCAAATGACTGGGGTCAACTGGGTTCGAGGAAAACGCCAATCTGAACAAGCACGAATAACATAGGCAATCTCGATATGTTTGATCTGTCTCGGTATGTTTGATCTGTCCTGTATATGACGTGGACTTTATGATTTATTGCTGTATATGGTGACACCCTCTAGTGATTTGCTATCGCCTTCACGCTTCCATGCTCTCTTGAAAACTTTCAATTTGTAGTCTTATATTCAACACATGTACGTGGGGGTTTGGGGCTGCTCCTTCCCGATACGATGATCGCATCGGCTCTGCCAAGCCGCCGCTGACATACCATTTCCGAGGAAAATCCGACTGCCCGGCAGTTGGCAGCTCCCTCGAGACCGTGACCATATGAAAAATCGGTAACCAAAGCGCAATTCTTGGTCTGTAAGCAACCTGCAGTCATTTCTTCTTTCCTGTTGGATCTGGGGTTTTCTCGCTCCTGTTTCTGCTGTCAGCTGACCACAGCCCTCTCGGGAGCTCAAGCGCAGGCCCGCAGCTCAAGATCTCTAAGATATCACCCGATAAGGAGATCGGGATTCTGAGAAATCCCCAAGGTACCAATAAAATGGACGCCTGGCTTGCTGACTACATATCCTAGGATGAAAATGCACGGCTCAAGGCCATCGTGACAAGACTGGAGCGCAAAGATGTGGATTGAAGTGGGAATCTCTTGCATTGAGTCTGGACACTCTACATCGTCAATGAACTCGCTCAACATACTAATTATGGGCTCCCCGTAGAGCGGAAGTCGAGCGAAAAGCCTTACAACGAACTGTCCGGTCTCAAAAGGCGCAACTTTCCGCCCTACAGACCGCCCAAGCTCAGCTGGAAATCAAGGATCAGATAATTAAGTCGCAGGCCGAATTAATTGAGAGAATCACTACTGCCTCGCAGATATTACCAGCTCCTGTTAGCTCTCTGACCCCCAATTCCATCGCCCAGCCCGAGAACATATCTGCAGCCCATTGCGCCACCCAGCAGACTGCAATAGATGCACGCGGTATCCAACAGATGGAGGCCTACATCGCTGAGCTGGAACATAAGTTGAAAGACAGTAACGAGGAGTTTGAGGTCTTGCACGAGGTCATGTTACCTTGGTGAGGGAGCAGAGACCCCAGACTTCCGATTGTCCAAGCCTAGCTCGTGAAGTCTCTCCCACAAAGCTGATCTGATCCTCGCCAGTTATTAAGTCGGATTCTGGAGTCGGCAGCGCATTTGAGAAGAAGATTTCGTTCGTAGAGGTGGTACAAGCTCGTGGTTCCCGCCTAATACCACCTGTAACTGCTCCACGCATTACGCAGACCCCCTCTCCGACGCTAGCATTCTTCACTACGGCCAGATTATTCAGGTCGTCAAGTCATTTGGTACCGATCGCTGGACTCACTACGAGCAATCATGTAAGCTCATTCAGCAGGCAGCATCCAGATACAGCGAACACTTATCTGACTAACCTCTCTCGCTGTGATGGCATCCCTCCGGATATCGTCATGGAGCAGTCCGGCTTTTCCCGCTTCCTAAACCTCATCACCTATTCCCGAAACATGCCGCCCCCATGCATGCACTCATTCTATCTATTCTATCCCGTTTCAACCGACTGTACGTCGCTAGCTAGCTAGCTTTCAGCCTGTGTCTCGCACAGGACCTTGAGAGATAGGTAGGTAGGTAGGTATGTAAAGGTGTTGATGGTTGATGGTGGAGAGTGGAGAGTAAATAGATAGAAGCGAATTTTATATGTAATGGATCGATTGGTCTGTGGGTGTGTGAGTGGCTGAGCCCTGTCGTACGGTATGGTATCGTATCGTAGCGTATCGTAGCGTATCTTATCCTATCGTATCTTATCGGATGTTTGTTTTTTGGGTAAGGGGGAAAGGGTGAGGGAAGAAGAGGAGGGGATGGATGAAGGAGAGGAGGAGGAGGAGGACATGAAGAGGACATGAAGAGGATAGCTATATGCTCTTTTTGAACAGTCAGCTAGCCACGGCGACGAAACACGCAAGAACAAGGAGAAGGACAAGGAAAGGGAAGCAAGACCTTGAAGCGGTTGTAAGATTGGATTCGTGCTTCGGTGGTGGATTATATATTTATACATATATATATATATATATATATATATATATTGTAGTGGTTTCCTGTATGCCTGATGGGACTTGCAGAGGATGGTCAAGCTCGTCGTAATAATAGGAGGAGAAGCTTGCGCTGACACCTTCCCAGGAGATCGAAATCGACCGGCCATCCTCTTTGACTGCCTCCGCGCGCTATATTGTTAGATCTCGGTTTCTCTTTTCGTTGACGAGCGGCTGGATATCTGCGAGGCTGGTCCTATGCTTCTGCGAGTCTCTGCTACCTAGGCTAAGAGCCTTACGCGGCTGGAGAGTTCTGATATGGCGATACTGGCTGGGCAGCTTGAAGATGGCTTGGGGCGCGGGGCTATGAAATATCAAGGGGTTATGGTTTCTTCGGGTTCATGTACACACGATCCGATGCAGCTTTCAGTACCATAAACCATTCCTATGAGCTCCAATACATTGTAGCAAGATTATATACCCGTGAGAGCTCCTGATATACTGCAGACGAACAGGGTGGCCGAGAACAGGTTTCCCCAAATCTTCCCAAGAAAGAAGGCAGCATCGCCGGCCACCCCGCTACTTCCTGCCCGCTGGCCTGGTCTCCTGCCTGCGCGAGAGCCGCCCAGATGAACCAATCACCCTCACCCAGCCGCTCCTTCCCATCATCACGCGCTTAGGGCGTCTACATCCCTCGGGCCGCCATTGCAGCCGGTGGTCACGCTTTGTTTTCATCCAAATTTTCTCGCTTACAGGCCTAGCGTCCCTTAGCGCCACCCTAGAGACTTCCCCTTCCCTTATAAACCCCCCACGTCCTCTCCTTCTCCCTCTCTCCTTCTTTCTTTCTCCCCACCAACAACAATCCTGTCAAACCTTCAAAGTCAAATCACAACAGATCGATCCTCAAATCGTTTCTTCTGCTGCCTTTGTACCAATCAAATCATACCTTGACCAACCAAAGTACCCAGTACCCACAACACCTACAACAATACCCAACCACCCACCCACAAACAACCAAACCTCGGTGTAATTACTGTGAGTATACTTCCTTCTTCTTATGTTCTCTTTCTTTCCCTTCTCTTCCCTTCTCGCGCGCGCGCGCGCGTTTTTCAACGCGTCGCGTCACCTTCACCTTCACCTTCACCTTCACCTTCACCTTCACCTTCACCTTCACCTTCACCTTCACCTTCACCTTCACCTTCACCTTCACCTTCACCTTCGCCTTCGCCTTCGCCTTCGCCTTCGCCTTCGCCTTCGCCTTCGCCTTCGCCTTCGCCTTCACCTTCACCTTCACCTCACCTCACCTCACCTCACCTCACCTCACCTCACCTCACTTTACCTCGCCCATCCTCACACATCCCACTTCGATCTTGGATAGCTACTGACGGTGATCAGCTACAATGTCTGCACCAACCATGTTCACCTCTGGCGCCCCAGTGTCTGTTGGTCTGGATATCACCGCCAAGAATGTTGTCACCCCTCCTGCCCAAGTCGAGCATAACTCTCAACCATCCGCCGAGAAGGTCACCCCTGAGCCTGCCCACAAGTCCGGTGAGCGTCACCATATGTCGCCGGGTTTGATCAGCAGCAGAGCAACCGCCATGATCAAGGCTCTCGATGAATGGAATGGTTCGTTGGACACTTTCCCTCGTGAGCTCGAATTTTCGGCCGAGTCCGAGAGAAAGCTCGAGAAGTACGAGGCAAAGATTGCCCTCCTGAAGCTTGGATCCGAGATCAAAAAGTATGTATCTTTCCAATGCCTTCTTCTCCTCTTCTCTCATCTCAATCGTGTGTGAGTCTCTGCTTATTATTGTTCAGGACTGTGAAAGCTGCTGCTGAGAAGGCTGCAATTCTTGCCAAGGCTGAGGAGGAATCTGCTCAGATCATTGCTCAAGCCGAGATTCTCGCGCAGAAGCTTGCGGACGCGGTTACCTCCCACAACCGCAATGTTGCCAGCATCGGAGAGCTTGAGGCACCACCTGTGCCCATCGCTGGTACAATGTCGAGCGTCGAGAAGCTCAAGGCTCGCAAGAAGGAGCTGCAGATCTCAAAGTTGAAGACCGAGCTCCTGGAAACCGAGATCAAGGTCATTGAGGCCGAGGTCGCTGTCGATGAGAAGAATGCGGAGGCCGAGGTTGCGCTCAAGCATATTGAGGAGGTTCGTTTTGCCGCTGGGGATTTCCAATTCCAGGGTCTCCGCATGAAAGATCAGTACAAGGAAATGTGTGCGAGCTGGGCTGAGAAGTTCGGAGATGATGCGTCATCAGAGTCTTCGGAGTCGGATCTGAATAACAACGGTCACACTGGCAGCGATTTTGCCACTGACCAAGAGATTGTGTTTGGTGCACACAAGGAAGAGTCAGTTTTCCAACAACCCCACTCCTCTCCCGTCTCACATCATCCTACGATGATTTTCTGTCTTGCATTGTCCAATGTACTTACTTGTTTCTAGGCTTCTCAACGCCCTGGCACAGATTGAGACTCTTACGAACACCAATTGTATCCTGGAGGCAGCCGCTTTACGCGACGCCGAAAAGATTGGAGTTCTTCGAGCTCTCGAAGTTGCGCTAAATGGAAGCAACAATAATTCGATTGCCCGAGCTGCGAGTCTCGATGAGGAGATTTCCATCTTGAAGTCTGCCGCCTTCTTGAACACCAGAAAGATTGCTGAGCTTGAAGACGAGAAGGCAGCCGAACTTCTACGCGTTGATTCGCTCACCAAGGAACTCGTTACCTTGAGATTGACTGCCCAGGCTGCTGCTGCAGAGATTGATTCGCTCAAGGAGTCTCAGACAAATTTGAAGAAAGATCTCGCCAATGCTCTTGTCCGTGTTGAGAAGGCTGAGATTCTCAACAAGGAGTATGAGGCTCTCAAGTTGAGCTCCAAGGCAGCTTTCGATGAGATTCGTTCGCTCAAGGCCGCTGAGGCTAACGCCAAGATCATCGAAAAGAAGTCCGATGCTTTGGCTGAGGCTCAGGCTGCTGAGATTATTTCGCTCAAGGCTGCCTTGTTGAAGTTCAGCACTGATATCACACCGACCAAGTCTACCACTGATCCGGAGACTTTGGAGAACAACACCAAGGCTTTGCAGAAGACTGTTGCTATTCCCACCAGTAAGTCATTCATTCAAAGATCTTTTCCGACAGTTGCTTTTGATCAGTTGCTTACATCTCCATAGTCGCTCGTGCCGGTACCACAGCTGTCGCCAACGCCAACGCTACCACCCCAACCGCCGCCGAGTACCAGAACTTGAAAGACCTGGTCACTGTCATGAAACCTCTCTTTTCAGTTGGTCGTGATGTCCGAGTCCGCCACAACATGGTGCAGCTGCACAACAAGATGGGCAAGCGATACTGCGTCGACAAGGCTCGATTCTCGGCAGGTTACGAATCTGTCAACAGCGGTAGAGCCGTCGAGGATGCTACTATCTACCTGCAAGGCGCAAAGCACTGCGATCAAGCCAGCGGCTTTGTTGGCATCTACGGCATGCCCGCTCAGACTGTGTGGCAACACCGCAACTTCTCGATCTTCATCCAGTAAGTCTCGTCATCATCATTTTGCTATCCTCTTCCTGATGCCTTTTTTATGGGCCCATGACTGACTCTCCGTGTCCTTCTAGTATCCTCAACATGGGTGTTGACATGAAGGTGTACACCCCCGCATACCGCTACGGCTTCAACAACACGGGCTTCCAGTCCTGCTACCAGAAGGTGATGGGCAAAGTCTGCCCATCACCTTCAAAGCTTGCAATTACCTCGGACGAGGCATTCAACATGCACTCGGACTTGGTATTTGCGTACAACCGCATGCGCTCTGAGCGCGACGATGTTTTCCGCGCCCGAGGCGGACACAACATCGGGAGACTTGAGAAGAAGTTCTTCGAGGCGGCCTGGCACCCCCACGAGGCCAGTGCCGCCTCTAATGAAGCTACCTCGTAGAGGAACTTCTCAAGTCTCTGGCGCTGCTCGCGAGCTGCATGCGGTTGTACGGTAGCTGGACTGGCGGGGGGTGACACGGTAGCATAGCAATCATGAAAATAAAAACTAAACAACCAAAATCTGTGCCTTCCTGTGGACCAACTTCTGTGATTTGTGACCTCTTCATCTTCTTCCTTCCGCTCAGTTTCATCTTTGGATGACCCTCCAAGATGAAGAAGTGCCTTGCCGTCCAGGAGAGAACCCGCCTCGCCCTGCTGCAGGCCGGATCCCCAGACTCCTGATTTCCTCCAAGATAAATTTCTGATCTTCATCTCCAGCTCCATCCAGTACCTTCTGCTGCCTTCTGCCCGTAGTTTTTGACTTTCCTTTGTTTTTGTTCTTGTAGGTGTTCCTTGGCGCTAGCTTCAAATAGGGGAAGAGTTGTCAACAAAGGCCTCCCCCCCCCCCATCTGACGTTTTCTTCTTCTTCCTCCTCTTCTTCTTCTTCCTCTTCCTCCTCCTCCTCCTCCTCTTCTTCTTCCTCCTCTTCTTCCTCTTCAGCTCTCCTCGTCTCGCCTCGCCTCTTGACGCCTGTGGAGTGGAAAATCTGTATTTTAGCGCTTTAATGCTTTTGGTCTAGGTCTTGGTCTTGGTCTAAGTCTAGGTCTTGGGCTGGGGCTGGGATGGGGCTTGGGATGGGCTTGGGGCTTGGGATGGGGCTTGGGAAAGGGAAAGGGCATGAGTAAGAGTTGGAGTTGGAGATATCGAGCGGCTAGCTAGCTAGCTAGCTGACAGTAGTGAGTGAGCAAGTGAGTGAGTGAGTGAGCAAGTGAGTAAGTGAGTAAGCAGGATCGATCGGCCTCGGGCCGCAGTGCTAGCTAGCTAGGTACCTGCTTATTATGACTTGGCTTTTATTGGCATTGTTGGGTGGT